CAAGGGTTGTGTTTCAGCGGTTTAGAGGTATCAGGGTTTGGGGATGTTTGGGGTGTAAACTGGGCATGCGCCAAAAGCCAGTCTTTCTGTTGAACCTCTCAGATGTCGACAGGTTCCCTGCTACGGTCTCAAGTTTTAAACGTCAACTTTTTCCTTTTGAGGGCAAGACATGTCAGGCTTCCAGTTCAGCAAAATGGGAACGCGATGCCTTCGTCACAATTCGAACGCTCGGCGATTCTTCAAGCGGCTTGGCTTTGCAGAGGTTGACGATCCTGCTTCCCAGCCGAAGGGCGAACACAGTCCGCTCGCTTCATGTGTCAAGTTTGAGCGCCACATGGTGCGCCACAGGATTAGCGGAAAGTCTTCGGTGTGAAAGAAGTTTCCTGTGCCCTAGCTCTGCCAGAAGCTCGTACCAGCCCTTAAATGTTGACTTCCTGCGCAAACAACATGACATCGAAGACTTTTTTGTCTGATGTAGTATAGCCCACGGCAGCTGCCTGGCCACGACACAATGGGCTTCGCGGGAAGAGACATCGCAATAGAGCGGCCATGAGGCCTAATTGCTGAACTGCAATTCTGATCAATGAGGAAGACTTGTTTTGATAAGGATCCATGCTGGTCAATTGGGTATGTTGATGCTTCTGTTGCCGTTGAGTGCTCATCGTTGTGGTTTTCTTCTGCTACATCAAATTGCGTCTGCCAGGATGAGCTCATGTTGCGCATACGTGCACGCCTACCCTGGCTCCTGTTAGCAGGGAATGAAGGAGTGGATCCACGCATAATCCCCAGAGCAATCCGTGCAGCGGCCCTAGCAACCTAGTACCCCATTCCTTCATTCCTGTCTAACGCAGGGCAAGCAATTAGTTAATGATGGCCTGGCCTGCCCAGGTGAGATTGCATGTGAGACTTGAGAAGCAGGTCTGTGGAAAAATGCCAAATGTTGTTACTGATAGTGTGAGCTGGTGTGCCCCGGAAAAGCGCTACTGCAGGAGCCCTCCGAATTGCCCTTCCTACTTTTGGTGCTCGGGCAGACTCAGCAAATGGGTTCGCCAGCCCTCCGGCCCCGCTTCGCTGCCCTCGAGTTGCCATTCCGGTGTTGTGCTGTGCATTGAATACTACACAAGGTGCATCTGAATGCAGAGTTACTCCGTGCAGGTCTGCAAATTTAAAGGTGTCACGGATCACCAGTGTGCTTTTCGCGACGAGAGAACTCATCTCGCTTAGCTACACTCGTCTCCTCTTATCCCGCTGTACATCGTCTGGATAACGGATAGAATAATTGTGTAGTTAGTCCACTGTCGGCAACACGAATGACATTGGCACTCCAACACGAGCGAAAGCATTTGCGATATGATAATGATTAGGAACATTTGTGCAGCAAACGTCACAGCAAAACACATGAACGAAATCCATCGCAACGTGTTCCGTAGCGTCTTGGACCTGGTTGAGCCAATAGAGCTTGAATGCTACTTGTAGATTCGCGAGAGAGGTACAATAATCACAACAGTGCCCGCGCTTGCACCGTCCACAGCGCGATTGAACTAGGATTTATAAGCACGGAGACTTCTATGCAACCAAGCTTGAAGGATGAACTGGCGGGCTCCCTCGTGGCTCCGCTGACACCTGAGGAGCTGGCAGTGGCTACAGATTTCCCAGGTGCGGTCTGGATCCGATGGAACGCGCAAGCCAGCACTTGTAGACAACTGCATGGTCAAAAAGAAGCCTAGCTAGTGGAAATCGGGTTGCAGGACATGGGTCAAAGAGCAGTCTGAGCAAGCACAGTTCCAGCGCGCAACGGCAATGCTGGCTCAGAGTTTCGATGTCCGGAAGCTGTGTTGTCTACTGCATCGCGAAGACTACGTCCTTGGGAGGCAGAGACTTCCGTGGTCTCATTGAGGCAGCGCTGCACAGGCAAGCAGAGGCCAGGACTGCTGATCTGGGGTCTGGTGCGGGCCTGCAAGGGTTGAAGCGCCTGCCAGTGTCCCAGATAACTGGCGTATGGAATGGACCCAACAAAGAGCCATGCTTGAAAACCACCCAGGTTGTTTCAGACTTATGCTTTGAGTTCCTTTGTTGATGGTAGATACTGTTTTGACCTTCAGGCCTTGAGGGGGTACTGTTCGGCTGTCATGCCCGAAAGTGTAGCTTTCTGGCTTTGCCTTGTCATTAGAGTTGAAGGTTTAGGGCTTATGGTTCTGGCGGATCGATACTTGAGGCCTCAGGCACTCATAACCAAGTGCATCAGTGCTGGGCGGAAGTTTCGTAATCCAGGGAGGTGCACTCTTGTTTGCTGGACCTCTGTACTGTAGTCTGGTTAACATGTCCTGAAACCATTGTCTGAAATTCGTGTAAAACGGAAACACGTGACAAGCAAACTTGCTTTTCTGTCGTCGCAAAAGCTCAGCGAAAGCACGGCAAAAGGTGCTGCGGTAGAGTACGTAGCAGGGGCAAGAGTTCTCCAGACTTGGCTTTGTGGTTTTTCTTGGGCGGTGAGAGACCGCGAAAGGGTCGCCAAAGGCTCGTCGAGAGGGTTGTTTCCGGGTAAAGGAATAGTGGACAACCCCCATTTGGCCAACAAGAGTCGCCACGAATTTGAAGAAGGAGCATGCCGAGGTTCGACAGACACATGAGCCATCAAGAAATACAGCTTCAAGATTACCGTACAGAGGTCTTGTATAGATTGCCATGGCTTGAGACGGACTCTTGGGAGCATTTTGTTCGGGGAGGGTAAGTGTCTCAACTTGAGCACTGAACTAGCCTAGTTATCTTTTGCCTAATGTTACCTTTTTGAGTTGCTTGCGGTCCGCTTCTTGTCGTCGCTACGCCAGTAGGGGACTTGAGTGGTAACATTGAAATTGGTAGCGGGCATCTTTAGCGAAGCGCTTGTTAGGCTGTTTTGCATGGGGGCTTCCTTTAGGCAAAGGCCCTGGTAATTGTATTCTGTTGCATAGCTCGACACTCAGTCTTGTCAAGCTAACTTCTAGTCAGGTCCAAATTTCCCAGGTCACATGCTTGAGGCTAATCAAGAGAAGTTGGAACAACTGGTTTCATTGAGCTGGTCATTTGCTTTCGTGGCATCAGTTCCTCCATGCGGTACTAAGTTACCTTCGTTAAAGGTTTGGGTGGAAAGAAACTATGATTGCCGGGAGCCTTCAAGCGGCTTGAAAGAGCCCATTTTTGGGGAGCTCACATATTTCCAGTCCTAAAGCCAACGGTCTTCCTTCGGGGTCCAGGGTTTTTGGGAAGATCTGCTAAGGCTGCGGCTTTGGCGAGTGAAGATGACAGATCCCCCACTTGAGGAGCATCCCACCACCCCAAGAGCTCAACCAGAGTTTGGCCAAATGTTAAGACTTAACGGACTTAACGTTGCTTGGACATGTAGTGTGCCTGCCTATTCTATTGAAGATAGCGGTATGTGACGACAAGGCTCCTATTGTGCGGAACATTTTGCAGCCTTAGCCAGGTAGGGCTACGGCTTAGCCCTACATGGCTCTAATCCTCAACATTTCTGAAATGTGTGGTCCTTGTTTCTTGCCAAATGCCACAAACAGAACAGCGCCACGGGCCCATGACGCCTGCAATCCTCAGAAGCTCCTGAGTCCTGAACGTGACGCACATCTAAGAATTATTGTTGCTCCCCATAGGATTATTGGAGTCCATCTCCGACGAGCCCGCCTATGTGGGATTTTCTGGCTCCCGGAAAGAGGCCCTAGGATCGAATCCCCTTGAATGTATATGCTTGGGATCTCCGACTGTGGCAGATAAACAGAAACCTGCATGTGTGGAAGGTCTGGGAGCCTTCTCGGACTGGCAGTAGCTCAGCAGGCTGCATCCTGCAAGATAGTTTGGGTTTTTGTAGATCACGAAGGGGTCCTTTGAGGATTTCGGAGGATCCTGCGCTGCAGGTTCAGGGAAATGTCAAAAGCATGGGAATGCTAGCAAAGATTGTTGACAAAGGCAGTATAGAACCCAATCTGTCAGAACTACAGTACTTCAGTTGCCTTTAGAGTTGAGATCAATAACGTCTGAGAAGTAGACCAGGGACTCCTATGGCCTTCAGAAACTCCCATAGGAGCTGTGGCCTGAAGGTTTTTGTTATACACGGTTTCGGCGAACGATGGATGGTGGGCGTGTAGGAAGCTTGCCAGCATGTGCCAGCTTAGGGCATAGCTGCAAGAAATTTAATACAGTCCTGCATAATGTCTCCGGGCTCATGTTTCAACAACTTGCCACAACATATCCTTGTCAGGGCCACATGCAGATTCAGTTGAAGGGTGCTCCTGAAGACAGATAGATCTGGATGCATGCCAGCAAGGGCTTCTCGGTCTTTCCCGGACAAAAAGGCTAGAATCCTGGTATGCCATGTCGAGCAGAGCTCAACTGAGCCCACATGAAAGCTGGTCTTCATGTGTCTCGCAGTTGACGGCGCGCGTGTTTTAGTTGCAAAGCTGGACGCTTTGGTAGCGCGCAAAATCGTACCTCAGACAATTTATAAACATTTTTTTGGGAAGAGCCTTAAATGAGGTGATGTGAGGCGATGGTTTTGCCTGGTGAATGTAGGTGCGCATCAGCACAATTCGTTGCAATGTGCCGGAGCCGTATGACAGGACGAGAACTTTGATATCCAGGGACTTTGCAAATAATGGAAGACATGAAGAGATGAGGCGCAGCTTATCATACTCAAGCTGATGAATCCTTTGGTTCTGACTTATTTTTCTGTTGCTGCAAAGTTTCGACCAACTAACAATGACCCTGCAAGCCTCGGTGGGCCTCCAACAATTAAACTGCCTTCCACAATGGCGTCCCCTTCCGAAAGCTGCATCGCCATTCTAGATTTGGGCTTCAAACCTAGCAGAGCGTGCACCAAGATGAGGTACTTTGTTTTTGTTTGAAAGGCTCCTGGCAGGTAATTACTCAGTATAAAAGATGGAAAGGAATCATTAACAGAAATGAAGAACAAATTTGCCCACGTAAGCAGATTTCCAGTTCCCGTGCTTGAGGCAAGCTCTGGCTCTCTTCGGGGGAGGAGCCAGAGGCGGAGGTGCAGATGCTGCATGGTAATTGAATCCTTATTTAGCTACTGGACGGCTTGGTTGTTGAGCAGGGCTGTTGGCATCAAGGAATTAGAACCAAGTGTTTTGTGCAAGGTTGAGTGTTTGTAGTTAGCTCGTCTTTCTGAACACCTCATACTTCAGGGTTTACAATGTGAGTTATTCCGCCCAAGCAGGTGGTTCATGTTGCGCTCTCGAACATCGAAGCCATGATTTTGTGTGCTTGCCCATTTGGTTTATGACTGAACTTGTGCCACATGCAGTGCTGCCAAAAGATATAGTCGGCATTTGAGACGTGCAAATGAAACCAGCGTGGTCGCTTCACAATGCCAATGGGGTCGACATGAAATGGTTTCTGGGAATCCGGATTCATGTGGAGCATGCTCTCCCGGCTGAGTCGGATGGCTTTAGAAGCATCCGCCCGCTAAATGGCCTGAGGCTGCATAGTGCAAGATACATTCTGGCCAGATGGAAATCAAGTTGCGCACGGCTTGGATGCAGCAGGGCGCAAGGTACAAGTTTGACACCTTGGATCTGAAGTGCAGTCTGGGTTTAAAGACGGAGAACATACAGCATCAAACACTTGGCCCGAAGTACTCCGAGCCTTCATGTTTAGGGCTTCCCCTATGACAGCTTGGGCTGCCTTGCGCCAATTTGCTTTTGGCAAATTCCAGGGACTTTAGGCCCCAACAGCTGTGGGTTTGTGACTTTGATCCTCACACCTTTAAACCGAAAATCTCTAAATTCCGAGCGGTGAACCCTCAAAACCCTTGAAACCAAGCGGCCTCCACATGTTTCAGGCTGACGATCCACCACTGCCTGATGTTCTCAGCCAGGCTGGCTGGTGGCTCGGGATGTAGGCCTTAGGGATGACACACTGGGGCTTATGCTTGGCTCCAGGTTTAGATTTTAGAGGAATACAGTTTTGAGAGGGGAATGACACCAAGGGGTCCAAGTAGGGTATGGGGAATGTCCGTGTCGGGCTTTGGGTCCAGAGGGCGGAGCTTTGTCTTTCCAATTTGCAGTTGGCAGGCTTCTCGTTGGAACAAGTAGTAGTAGTAGTCGTCGTCGTCGTCGTGGTGGTGGTGGTGGTGGTGGTACTAGTTTAGTTTCCATATAGCAGGCAGGGTCTACATCCAGAGCGCATGTTTTATGATAAATTTCAGTTCGCTAGCCAAGGCTCACTTGCAGCTACCACATGCAACTCCCACTTGGTAACGGGATTTGTCGCAGGCTGAAGTCTCCGGGCCAATTGGAGATCTGCCAAACATGAAGGGCCTGGTAGCTGCGGCTAAGCTTCTGGTCCAGACAAAGATTGCAGGAGGAGCCTTTGCTCTGTGGGTGGCCAGGCGCTGGCGTACTAGGAGTACTTAGAAAGGTATGTCAAGAAAAGCTCAGTACTCTGAGAGCAACAGAAGAAAAGAATTTACACTGTGGTTGCAGAGTCTAGAGTGGGTGATCCACCACTTCCTCTGCAGCTGCTAGTGCTAGTGATTCCACGGAACTCCAGTGGCGTGCGGATTCAGGCTCTCCGGGCATCGGAACGTAGCAGTTTTCAACACATGGTACTCTAAACGGCTGGGGACTCCATATGTGGGATCTACTCTACTCTTGATGTACAAGCCCTTGATGCTTCTTCAGGCCCTTTTGACGCGGCCAGATTAACCAGAAGGTAGACCAGAGTAGAGCTGTGTCGGGACCTTTCGAACTTGTCAGATCCTCATAAAACAGCTCGGGAGCACACCGTGCAAAGCAGCTACGCACCGTCTGCACAGAATTTCCACAAGTCCTTACAGGTAGGTGTGCAGTTTGTCAGGAATTGCTCTGCAGCGCTGCTTCGATGCACAGGCTCCTACACAAGCTTCAAGAAGAAACCTCGAATCCCCGGCTCATCCCCATGTATCACCGTTATGTTCCGCTTCTATTTTGAGAGCCCTGATTGGAACCCCAATGGGCAGCGCTGGTAGAGCCCAGGCAATGAATGCATGTTTCACTGGTAAACAACATCATATCCCTGGGTGCTGAGTCTGAGCAACTCCCACACAAATCAACACAAAATGACAGTAAACCCTCAATCGTGGACCCTACACCTTGAACGGAAGGAGCTTCTGGCGAAATCTCCGATGCTTTTGCACTCTTTGCCCTGTCCCTGCTTCGCGGAAAAGCCTTGCATCCTGGACTGACTTGGAAGTTAATCTGAGCATATAGCTGATATTGATGATTCTTGTGTAGGCTCTTGCAGGCATACTGGGATCGGGTATACTAGAGGCTCCAAAGACCCTGCATGTGGGTTCTGGCGTTTCTTGTGGTAGCCAGCTTATTCCATAACCCTCATCCAGGCATGAGCTGAATGAAAGCTGCTCCAAGAGCGAGGCTGAGGCGCATTGGCCTTGGGGGGAATCAGGAGCCTTAGGTTCTCATCTGACAGTAGGTTCTCGGAAGCTCGTAAAACAATGCCGTTTGCCATCATCAATGCTCACACTCAAACATCAGGATCTGTCTTCTGTGAATGTCGGCATCGGTTGCTTCCGCGCTGTTCTCATGGGAGTTTGTACTGCTACTTGGTTTCCTTACTTCTTCTTCTTGGAGCTTGCACTGATTTCACTGGGCCTGCTTTCAAGGTGCCTGCTCAGGGATAAATCTGCGTATCTCTCGAAGCCGGGGGGGGGGGGTGCTCCTGTGTTGGCAGTCAAAGGTACCCGCAGGGTAGGTTCAACATTTGGGAGATATCGAGTTCTTCAAGTTGTTTTGTGCCACATAGCGCCATCAGTTGTGTCGGGAGACTCGTAGCAATCGTAGCACCCCAATTCATTCCGCTGACCCAAAGATGATGAGACCACGGATGTTCTTCAAATTCGAGATTCTATGTACTTCTCAACATCCAGGGCCCTGTATACGCTCCCAAAGCCAATTTAGTCCTCCCTCAAACAAAACAAATTGCAGAGAACCGCTATATGTACATGTATATATTAATATATATATATACATATCTATCTATCTATCTATCTATCTATCTAAGTACAAAACTCTGACCTTGCATGTCCCATCCATGCCGTACATCACCCCTATGACTTCTTCGTAAGGGACCTATAGCAATATATCCTTACGAAACATCGGCAGATTGCGCTGCTTCCCCAGCACAGCACCCTGTTCGAACTAAAAAGCTGGACCCAAATGGTGCTGAATGCGGTGTCTCCTCCAATCCTCAGCGAGGATCTTTTTCCAGTTCCTGCCAGGGGTCTGGGGGTCTGGGTCCCTGAACCCAATGCAGACCCTGAGCCACCTAAAACCCGCTTCTGTAAGCCTAAGCCCCAAGCCCTAAGCAAGCCCCATACAGAAAGCCACAAAAATCGATCCCTTAACCTTGCTTCAGGGATGGGCCCCGGCCCTGCTGCGTGCTGCTTCTGGCGCCTTCCGTGCCCTCCCAGCAGAGCGTTCTGCGCCCTGGGTCTTATTCAGCGGGATTCGAGAGTTAGAATTTCGGGGAGTTTGAACTTGATTTAGAGGTTTACCATTTTTGGAATGCTTCTTTGCTGTTTGGGAGTGTAGGGTTTCGGGCTTAGGCATCACGGCTGGGGTAGAAAGTCTTGACCCTGACGTGAGAGGCACATGTGATGGCTAAGACAGCGTCACAACAGGTTGATTGCCGTCTTCTTTCCAAAGCCTGCGGTTCAAGTTAATCTTTGGATCCAGATTCTACTGCAAAGGCGAGCAACTCCCTACAAAAGTTGAAAGACTCCTCAGGTGGTGTTCCGAGCGGTGCGGTTGACCGGAGACACCTTGGCATCCTACAGGCCCTTAATAGTCGTGCTTGATCTCAAAGTAATGATCCCTCTTGGGGTGCAGGTTTGCTGGTGTATTATATATATGTATATCAGTGTATCTACATGTGTATAGGACGTGTGGTGGAGGGGCTTTCAGAGTTGTGAGCAGGGTCCCCTGAGTCAATTGGGTGGACCCTAGCATCAACAGTTGAGTACGAGTAATATCGATGCTGGGGGCCCGAATGAGGAGTAAGTCCAACGCATATTAGGGTTTGCCGACAATACAAGAAGACACTAATTTGAAGCTGGCATGGAGCTGGCATGGTATGAATATTCAAGTTCAAGAAGATCCTGAAGAGTTCCACGCCACCTCTCTTAAAATAGCTGATAGCCAAGTGAGTAGATGACTTGATGCACCTCCATCGTAACTACCGCTTCATGGCGTATATGAATTGCTTGCAGGAGTTATATTGTTGAGACACGGTTCGATATCGCAGACCCCCTCAAGGATGGCAACAGGTGGAGGATCCCAAATGATGTCCACAGTCATGTTGTTGTCAAGAGTAGGGGCCCATCTTGAATACCAGAAACTAGGGGCTGAGTCATAGAGGCAACTCTCACGTTTTGCCAGGCCTAGAGTAAGAAAAGAGCTGCTCCGTCGCCGTTTCGGCTCAGTTGCCGCGCGACGAAACACCTCAGTTGCGCTGCCTTGGAAGAAATCGCGGCCACTCGCGTGGCGCTGCCTTCTCCAGGAAGAACCTAGGTGCGCTTATGGTTGAGATGATTAAGTTCTACGCATTCACTTCGATTTTGCCAGAAATTAAGCCGTTAAACCTTTCATATTGAACTTTCAGTTTGAGCGCGCGCAGTCCTGTCTTAGTCCCTTGCCACTGTAACCAGGTGGACAGCAGAGCAGCAATCGTCAACTGGAAGGGCAAAGGTAGCATGTACTGCGAAGTCGGAACCGTGAGAGCCACAGGAGAACACGCACCACGAATGACTGATGCTCACGATCCTCATCCTCATAGTGGTTCCTGCGCAGAATCAAGCTTATCAACGGCCACTGACACGGCCAGCCAATTCCACAAAAGAGTCCCCCTTTGAAAGGGGGTCCCCTTCAAAAGGCGCACTTGGTTCTGAAAGATCCCGACGTCAAAAATCCTTAGCCCATAAGCTCTGAACGCCAAAAGTACACGCTGAATCCTAAGCAGTATAACCCAAAACTCACAACCTTGCAGACACTCTTGCTTCTCAGGAAACTCCGATCACCCAGTGATTGTGACCTTCGAAGCCAGATGGCGCATTTTGTGCCGACAATCCGTGAAGTTTGGGCATGGAAGCTGAGACTACTTTGAGGGGTTTCGAGTTTTAGGGCTTGTGATTTGCCAGTTGGCATACTGTTTATATAGCACTTCCTGTTTGTTAAAAACCAAGAGTATCAACCTACCTTCAGTGATCTGTACTGGAGAAGGCTAAGTGCGATCTGCAAACCTGATGAGACATGGACTGAGATTTAGCGATCCTATGAAGGAAAATGGAGGTTTTGAACCACAGGGGATGAGTGTACCCTTGATAAATCAAGGCGTTTTGCATACGTAGTTGTTCGCACATGCTCCTCCAAGAGTTGCTGAACAAATGCCTATCCCTTGATTGTGATTAAAGTCCATGAGGCCTGCATGAGACGATAAAAGGCATCTGTAGTTCCACTTGTATCTCCAGCTTCATCTGACGACGGATTAGCAGTCCTACCCCTGAGCTGTAGGCTAGCTAGTGAGACAAGTGTGAAATCTTCCCTTCAGAGCCTACAGTATAGGGCCAGTAATGGTAACTAGAGGGGAAGTGGGCACCCACATAGCAAATGCAAGAAACCTCCCAAGAACACTTGGACCTTGAATTGCGGTACCTCTTCTTGGCCCTTGCAAGTACGACTCTATTCGGACCAAGGGTACTGTAATATTTTCTGGTTCTGAGAGGAACTTGCAGCCTGAGATCCTTGCCTTGCAGCGGACAATTCATGAAGCCGGGCCTGGCGCAGTACTTGTAGCTACGTCGCACTGTAGAAGGGTTTCAGCACAGTGCAATGTTCAGAGTCTGGTGTTCAGAGTTTCAGGACTTCACGCTTTGGGGTGTGCGTTAAGGATTGCATGGGTAGTTCAGAAACCCTTTGGGTTGCAAGTAGGTTGACTCACACTAGGGAGCCATATGCAGGGAGTCATGTGGATGTCCCAGCTAGGGATAGTATAGATTAAAGGATAATTGGAAAAGCCAGGCGTAGTGATTAGTGCAAAAAAGCCTTGACTAAGCCCCTCGCCAGACCTTGACATCAGACCTGGGAGCCCGAAACAGTACTCTGCACGACTGTAGCGGATCCAGGAACGACAATGACAAGGTAACAGAGTGTAGGGGTTGTTGCAGGGAAGAGTAGAAAAAAGGCAGAATTCCCTCACCCAGACAGAGCCCAGGCAATTGACACAGAGTTCCCGGGCGTTTACCAGGAAGACGCCTGGAAGAAGTCGAGTGAGGTCCGGACACGGCAAAAGACAACACAGCACCCACATCTTTTGGAATCGCAGCAGGCGCAGAAATAGGTCATCCAAAAACGGGCACCCCCAACAGGAACCCAACCCATAGTATGCCACTTTGGTGGAACAAAGTTGAAGTTGCTGCACGAAAAGTAAACTCTAGGCCTTGATCCCCTCAACCCTGTCTAGGAGCGCCTTTCAACAGACCAACATGTCTTCTCGGTTAAGCTCTGCCCACCCCATACCAAGGTAGCGGCGAAACTGTCGGGTGTTGTAGCCCCTTTCCATGTAAGAATGGCCCTTTCGACAGGAATCCTGAGAATTTGGGCCATGTGATCATACAGGAAGATGTGCAGGGAGGTGCTTCCTGGGGTTGATGTCGGGATCTGCAAGTGAAATCCACGCCCAAGCGGATAATAAGTTGGGAACAAAGCCTCTGATGTCCTTCGCATTCTGGAAATTCCAAATGAGGAGCAAGCAATTTCTGTCCGAACTTTTGTTCCCACCGTAGCTGTTCAGTGTTGACCTTAATCCTTCGGCTCCCTGCGCTGGAGCATCCTGCCTGCCAAGCCCTGAACCCTAAACCAGCTGGACAGAATGTTTATCATCGAATAAAAGCGCTCGAAAGAGAACAAGATAGCTTGCCAGACCATAGATATATAGGGCAGGTTCAGTCAAGGGTCATCCCAGATAGATGTGTTTCAGGTATAGTTTCGGCAGAATACATCCACCTAACCTCTCCTGGCACAGGTGCAGTACCAGGCCATGCGGGAGAGTGTCAGCTTGCTGGCACCCATCCAATTGGGGCTCGCAGCAGCTGGGCACAAGTTGGAGATTTCCAAAATTCACGGACTGGTGGAGTAGGGGTGTCGTTATCATCATA